AAAAACGTTTGATGAGGTTATAAATCAATTGAGAAGTATGATGATTTTCTCATAGTCTTCAATACAATCTGATTTATTAAATCAACCAGTGGGGTCGCCCCATGCTGGCCTCTATAAAGAATGATGTGTTTAAGGCACTTCCTTATTGGCCTTGCAGAGATAACTGAATTGTACAGCTTAGATCAGCATGAAACTCTCCCAGTCAAAAAATCATTACAAGAGATATGAAACTGTTAGGCAACATGGTCATTTGGTTGACAGACATTGCCACCCCTAGAGCTTTGCTGTTAGCATGGCTGAATTATTTCAACACTTATATTTATTCACCTCAACCTTCAGGTAGCATATCCTCAAGGTTTTAGTATCTCCTTTATCTGTCATCGTAAATTCTTGGCATTTGAAGTTTCTCATTTTAAGACACCAACATCAGTAGTACTAGATTTAATAACTCAGGTTTGTTACACATTTATTATTGGTGTTTTCTTCTCCTCCCGCTAAGATCACTCCCGTCTTTTCATCTTCCTTTCACACAAGAGAGTCTTTGACGGTCTGAAATCCTAGTTGTAAATGTTAATGTGTAACATGGAGAAGTTGGATCGATGAGGTATATTAAACTGGCATTCCTCTCTTCGTCCTATCAGCCTGATGAGGCAGAACACACCGTGTCTCTTTACCATATATCCCCACAAACACAAGTCATTTCTTTCACCTTTTCTTCTCTCCTTACACAGCCACATAAAAGCCCACACACATCCATGCAATATCTGTTTGTCTCCATCGCTAAATAATTGAATCACTTAACAGCGATCACCAAAAGTGGAGAGTAAATTATAGCTCCGTAGGTAGAGAACAGCCATTACTGTAAGGCCTTATGAAGAGGTATTATGGAGCCATGCTTTGTGGAGACCTTGTCATTGTCAGAGCACTAAATATGCCAGAGGTGGGGGGTGTGCTTTAGAATGGATATAGTATAATGCTGGTGTAAAGGCCAAGGCTGTTAATGTTGGATGGGCAATGACTAAAAAACATTGGATAAAATAAGTGTGTGTGTTTGTATGTATATATGTATGGTAGATAGATTTGAAGGAGAGCATAAATAAAGGGTGAAAAGTTCTCCCCTTAAGATGAAGTATTGGTATATACGTTTGTGAAAACAGCTTATATAGGATCAAGAAGTTACATTTATTGCTATTCGACAACTTCAAGTGGTGGTGGTAATTATGAAGGAAGCAGAGGAGGATGTCATGATGACATTTAAATACCGTCAAAGACCAGGTACGGAGGAGGTTCGGTCACACGTGAAAACAAAAGTCAACATTTAAACATATTACAGCTGATTTCTGATTTCATAAATGTTATTTATAACAACATTTCTTTCATTTTATTCATTTCTCATTTATATTTAAAGAGGCCCTTATTTGGGGGATTTCCTTTTCCTGTAGTGTGTTATATAGGTTTTTCTGCATTTAAATGGTCAGGCCCCCCTTTCCTGAAACACCTCCACTGGACTCCTTTGTTTACTTTATGAACATAGTGACATCACTATGTAACTCGTGCTTCTATTGGTTTGCACTCAAACACATTGTAAGTGATAGGCTAAGGGGCGGTAAATCTGTAAGCAGTTGATCAATCACAACAGAGCCGGCCAGCTAACCAATCAGAGCAGACTGGGCTCTGGTTTCAGACAGAGGGTGAAAAAAGGTGCTGCAGCACAGGCAGTAGGAGAAAAATAAAGAGCTTTTTGAACATTAAAGCATGGAGACATGTCACAGTAGAAACACATATTATAAATATCAACCTGAAAATGTGCAGAATATGTCCTCTTTAACTTCCGTACGTATGTAGTTAACATACGTAAAATTACGTAACCAAGTTATTTTGTGTAACATACTTAATTTACATCACATACTTAAATTCCAAACATAAGTTACGCAGCAAACATACTTGTTTTGATATAAAAGTATGGCTTGATCTTTTCCCAAACCTGACCGAGTAGTTTTGTGTAAGTGTGCTGTTTTGTTTTCTAGTACTATAACGTATATATAGGGCTCTCCTACCTTAGGCAGACCTCATTTTACATGGCAGGTTTTACTACCTCTTCTTGCCTAATATGCAAATAAAGCTTCCCATAACATGTGTCAATACCTTTCCAATAAAGAATTCCAGCGCAACAAGTTGTTACTCATACTATTTCCCTCCAGGTTTGATAGTATGAGTAACAACTTGTAACACTGGAATTCAACAAAAGTGCAGAGTCAACAGGCAATCTAATTTCCTTTTTTTGCTGGACTGTCAACTCTTACAACAGATACCTCGCGGCTCAATCAGATGACAAACGTTTGTTGGTTTGGACAGATGAGAGGAAGGTTATATGGAACAGTGTCATTCCTTTCTAACTAGTTGTCGCATTCCGTTCAGTCATTACAACAAAACACAGTGTGATTTTGCGAACAGACATACAGTTTAAGTACTCTAAATAAATATAGTCAAGCATAATCGTGCCGGATGGTTGAGGATTACTGTACATCTCTTTTTATTATTACCTCCAAGTCCCATTTTAATGTTTTGTACATGGATTTTCTCCCCATGTTTTTCAGATTCATATGCAAATATCAGTTTATAGAGATTAAGATAGCGTGTTTTGCTTGTGGATTGTTGCATAGAAACCCATAAAATGACATTTTGTATACTGTGTGCAAATACAGGAATACTATTAGTATGCTATTTTTGTTCCTTTATCGTACAGTTGCCGAAGAGCAATTACTTCAGTATTTTGAAATTCACTCCTGTTTGAGTCCTAGGTCACAACACACTCTGTGAAAGTAAAACCTCATTAGCAGCAGAAGTGGAGGTGGTGTGTTGCAAAGTGAACAGAGGAGAAGCAAACTCTGAGGCTGAGTGCTGCATATAGATGGTGTTGGTGTGTGGTGGTTTCCCAGAAACTCATTACCCTGGCTTTGCTTTGAGGTACTTTACTTTGCAATTTGCCACACTGGAGCTGTTTCCACATCACTGTGTTTCTTTTCTTTCATTCAGCAGTGATGAGACAAGGAAACAAGTTACCTGATAGCTATATATTCCTTCCAAAACAAAAAACAACAGGCAAAAAACTGATAACAATGTAAAAAGATTGACGCCGTCACTACTACTGTACTACAACTTCCCCAGGCACGTGGAAGTACAGGCTGGGGAAATACACTGACCCCCCCTCCTCTCTCATTACCCATCCTCCACTCTCCTGTTACAGCCACGCTGAAGCTCACACTACACACCACCCTGGGGCTTTCTGTGTGTGTGTTTGTTTGTCTCAGCCGGGCCTTATCAGTGATGTGTGTGTGTCCATGTTGATGATCATATGCTTTCAGTTAATGCATACATGCATGCCTGAGCAGCTATCTATTTTTCATTGTTTATGTCTGCACAATGCATCTGCATGACTTATGTATCAGTGTAGCAATGCTGTGGTTTACACTGAAGATATGCACTCACTTCCAACCGCTTTTCTTCCACAATACCACTCAGGTGTTTTTGTTTTACTACTGTCACAAATAAATAGTCATCTGAGTCAAAGAGGACATATTACGGTAATTTTCAGGTAAATATTTGTGTTTTGTGCTTCTTTTGTGACATGTCTCCATGCTTTAATGTTCAAAAAGCTCTTTATTTTTCCCTTACTGCCTGTGGTGCAGCACCTCTTTTCACCCTCTGTCTGAAACCAGAGCCCAGTCTGCTCTGATTGGTTAGCTGGCCGGCTCTGTTGTGATTGATCAACTGCTTACAGATGTCCGGCCCCTTAGCCACGTACAATGTGTTGGAGTGCTAGCCAATAGAAGCGCAAGTGTTACATAGTGATGTAACTGGAAGTAAACAAAGGAGTCCAATGGAGGCGTTTCAGAGAGGGGGGGAGTGTGTGGGAGAGAAACTCCCTCTGGAAGGAACACAGGGATTTTAGCCTTTGAATACCATTTACTTGCACACATACCTATATAACACACTACAGGAAAGGGAAAACTCAAAAATTAGGGCCTCTTTAAATATAAGAGAGAATTTAATACGTTGTTATAAATTGATTGATCGTTGTTTGTCAAACCAGAAATCTGCGCTAATATGTTTAAAATACTATCGATTTTGCAGACAATTTTGTGTTTCTACAAAATTGTCCTCATCGTATAAACGTCTGTGAAAGCAGCTAATTATTACACGTTTGTTATTGGACAGCGACATCTAGTGGCTATATTATTATGACGGGTGCAAAGAAGGGAGTCAGCTGTAGTATAATAAAGAGTACAAATGGCGCAATAGGAGGAGGTTGGGGAGGGTGGAGCAAACAAACACAGGACTTGTTTCCCGTGTGAAACCAAAAGTCACCAGGACGCCGGAAAAGTTATACGACCTTTATAGAGGGTCACAAAGTTATGTACTTTTTAAATGTGTAACAAACTAACGTAAAATACTTAAGTATTTTAACCCAATTGATATTTTGCTATCCAAGTAGTTTTGCTGCATATACGTAATTAAATAGTTCGATTCACAACATTTAATAGATTGGTCACGTGTTGAACATATGGCGGAGAAAATATTCTTTTTGTGGGGAGGGGTGCTGCATTTCACAATACACTGCCACTGACCATAAACAATTACATGACCTAATTTGGTGTAACACTTCAAACATATAAATAAAAATGTGGTCTACACTGTAACTTTATTTTTCTCTTATGTTTAACAGCATAACTAGCATGCATACAACAACACTCCAAAAATAGCTTTGTCTTTATCACAACATTAAGCTTATAACAAATCGAATTGGTCTAAAATGTTTTTTAACTAATCATTTGTATTTTGTAATTACATATTTACCGCCAATCTCACCCCACCACACCACTTTTCCATACTGCGACACCCATTCTGATGTTTATGTGACTGGAGTGTGCTTCCTGCAGCGAGGAGCTCAGGCCTACCTCATTTTCGCCTGGCAGGTCAGCCGCTCTGTGTTTCAGTCTGAAGCCGTTGGCTGCTACTGAACCGTTTGGCTCTTTTCTCTACCAGCGAGCAACCTACAATCTAGACCCAACTGTCCTTTCAGCTCATTTTTAAGGGGATTTATCTTCATATATGCCCGTGTATCCAAAACATATCGGTCATTGGGGATTCCTAGGACCGGTTGGCCGGGTCTGAAGGCCGTTATAACGCTTTTTTCGAGGTTTAATTAGAGCTAGAAAAATAACGCTGGTGGAGGAGGAGATTCCATATTAGGAGCACAGAGGAGAAGGCACCCCCCTTGTGTGATTTGGAGCTTTTGGTGAGTGTTTATCTTCATTTTATGCTATAATTGCCGTTATAAATTATACTACCGTGTAGCGTGAGCACCTATGACTGTATATACGAGGTTTGGGCAGGTTATTGCGCTGTTTTGAACGTTTATTTTTACATTTTCTCTTGGGGTGGGGGATGGGCAGCGTCAGCGCGTGAGTAGGCGCGCGCACCGTGCATGTATTCGTAGGGTAGCTCGTGGTTGGTTTGTGTTCGTGAGCGCGCGCTTCCTTCCTGCAACTACTGCTAGCTTTGAATTAAAACCACTTTAGTGTTTTTTTTTTATTATCTCAAACATAACGATATCTTTTATATCATGTGTGTTATTATACAAGAATACACCCTGGAAATTAATTAGTTTTTCTTAATAATCTTAACTTTTTTACTAAACTAATACCTTTTTTTAATTTATTTTTCTGGGATGGATTAATGCTGTTTCTTACTTACTTTAATTACACTTTAATTACACTTTGTACCTGTTTCTCATTACTCAAATATAAGTTAGTATTGTTAAAAACAACAACAGTTTTGAATAGTTATGAATCAAAACTGAAACTGTAGTTTTACAGTGTAAGCATTTTGTCCAATAATTGTAGGCTTCTTACCCTAAAGATAGTTTTGCTTTGGTTATTACCACAGTTAAAGATAATGTTGCTGTTTAACCTTAATTGTCTGCAACATACAGTAGATGCATACACATGCCACAATACACTGTTTATTATTCTACTATGTATTATTTTATTGGCTTTTGTGTCAATTTTATTCAAAGCTTTCTACAGTTCTTTGCAGCTGGTTGTTCCAAAGCCATGGGCGGTGTGGGGGAGGGGCACACGCACGCACACACACACGCGCACACACACACACACACACACACACACACACACACACACACACACACACACACACACACACACACACACACACACACACACACACACACACACACACACACGAGGGCCACTTGCCAACCTTGTGAAGCTCAACTCAATGACACAATGTACCGGTCCCAGATAAGCCTTGAGTATAACGTCTTCTCAAAAGGCTGCTAATACAGGCTCTGTGTAACCACACTCACAATTCACAGACTAATTAGGTTACAGTATTTTTAGGCGGGAACTGACATTTTAAATAAAAAATGGTTATTTAACACATTTTGATTGAGTTGATTTAACAAAATGCACAACATCCTAGTCAATGGTTGCCTGTAGTTATTGTGGGAATGTCAGACATATTTTTCTTCTGTTTGTCTTTATTATTAGTTATATAGCTGGTTGAACTTGTTCAATAATCTAATTTATTTGTGTTTCTTTCTGATCTCATATGAAATTGCTATCCTTGAACTTTAAAAAACAATAAGAACACTCACTATTGTGTAGTTATGTATAACAGAGGTAACACATCCTTCATTCTTGGGTTTGTGCTTGCTTTGAGGTGGGCTTAGTGTGTCAATCAAGGACACCTGCTAGTCACACAGTCTTTGTTGTGGTCACTGATGTTTCTAATGTTGACATAAACGATTTGAATGTTCCTATGTTGCAGATAGAAGCTAGTAAAACTGAAGCTATGAAAGTTTTTTTGTTTTGTTAGTACATGAGCCTGGTGTGACTTTGGCTCTGTATCCTGGTGTCATTTAGCTTGAAACTAAATCCAATTCATCGCTGGGGATTAACATCCCTAGATATTTTCCCCGTTTTGTTTTTGTGTGGTCATGATTATATTTTCTTCTGTAGCAGTTTATTGGTCTGATGTGGTTATCATATACTAGTATTATTATATGTTTTGTACTGAGTTAGGGCTGTGCGATTATGGCAAAAATCATAATCACGATTATTTGGGTCAATAATTGATATCACGATTATTAAATACGATTATTCATTGACTTTGAAAAAATCAATTTATTGAATTTATTGAATAAATTATACATTTAAATAAATAATATCAAAATAATAAATACCAATAAACAAGATCAACAAATATTTTGGAGCGCACTTCCACAAGCTACTAAACATATATAAATATGATAAATACAAATAAATGAGACCAAAATTAATTAGATCAAATATGCAAAGCAAAATAATTGTTTTTTCCGATTATGTTGTTTTCGTAATTGTGGCAGGCCAAAATCGTAATTGCGATTAAAATACGATTAATTGCACAGCCCTATACTGTTGGAACAGTTAATTGGTTGAGTATTTAGAGGACGTATTGGGCTTTATCGTGTCTTTGGCTTTTTTTATGTTGAATTATATCATATTATGTCTATATGATTTTGTCCACCCCCAATTAGACAACTTCCAAACAGCAGATTGAAGCGAATTATTTTCCAACCAAAAACCCTTCAATGGTTGGATTCTTTCTGGAAGAAAACCAGTCTGCCTTACCTGACTACAGCAATGTATACAACAGTACCACGTATTGGTTATTGTCATAGACACCCTCTTATAAATATGATGTGTTTATTGTCAATAGAAATCTCACAAGTGCTTTTGTAAACTGACAACTGTATTTTGTTGGTTTAGAGTGGTAGTAGTAAAAGATCATTTTAGGGAACTGTTACACAAGAAGAAGCAAGATATGACGATACTATTTGCTTAAACCCATTAAGGCATTACATAACTTATTCATATTTATCAGGAATTTCTTTTTTTGTGAAAAAGACAATTGTCATGTCAACCCTACAAGATCGTCACTCTATAGATCAGAAATATTGTGATATTTGTTTTTTGTCCATATCGCCATACCCTACTTTGAATGGCTCTAATATTTTGTGAGCTGATATAGGACAGAACAGTGGAAAAAACAAAAAATCACTGACACTGATTGATATTTGACAGCTTTGGGCTGTGGCAACGTTTTTCTTATTGACCATCATTCGTTACATTTTTCACATTTAAGCAGTGTTTCTGTGACCATACTGTACCCGACACCAGTATGTGAAAAGGGGCAGTGAGAGTTATCTGCGGTTTCTTTTGCAGCTTCACTTGGTAATTCAGACAGGGAATAAAAGCTAGACATTTAAATCTTCTGTAGCGTAGCTAAGCCGTGACCGCAAAGGTCTTTGAAATATAATGTGAACACTAACAGTATACTGGATTTGCTTATTTATCCTCGACGTTGCTTTCCCACAGCAAATGTCGAGCACAGGACACAATAATACAAAGCAGGCAGCTGAGTCATGTTATCTACACAGGACACATTGATTAGTTGGCCTTATTAAATCACAGAGGGAGGATGAGTGGTGGAGTGGTACAGTTATGTAACCAGTGCTCGTCAGTGTTGTGAATTGAAAAGGGAAAGACAAAATGGACAAAGAAGAGCTGTGAAAATGTGTCTTAGTTAGGTAATGGTCTGACATGAGGCAGAGAGACGCACAAATGGAACAGCCCCGGATACTGTCCATGTTCAGAGATGAGAATGATCGACTGAAAAATCATATCAAAACCTAGCTATGAAATCCACTGCAGTACGATAACACTTCAGTACAACCGCAAAAATGATGACAGAGTATAGTTACATCCTGCTTTCACATTTCTGTTGAATACAAGGTCAAACAATTAACATAAAACCCATTTTCAGTTATAATTTCTAAAGAGCAGCTGGTAATATCAAGGGTGTCACGATTCTCCTGCAAGCTCAAGTGTGTTTGTGTGTTGTTTTGTTTGTTTCTTTTTTACAGTAATGCAAAATTAGGTTTGCTGTAGAGCAGCGGTTCCCAACCTGTTGTTTTTTCTTTTTATTTTGTACAGGCTAGTACACAAACATGGACATAACAATAACATATAGGAGATGACAAAATAGGTTGACAACCAAATACCACCAAAAACACAACGGCAAGCATATTTATTGTTCCTTTAATCCCACTCTTCGTTAGAGCTAATTATTTCCCATTTCATTGCGTGTTGAGCCACCCTTTGATTTTTTGTGGCAATAATTTTTTTCAAAAGAAATTGTATTTTTAATATACTCTTCAAACACCTTAAATTAAGATTACTCCTTGATTGACTTTTAAAAATATGTATTTTAGCCAGAAGAATAGTTATATTTATGAACTGTGTCGGTCTTCATCTAAAAGCCCAAATAAAATATGAAAGGGTGTAAATGTAAATTCAATATTTGCCGCCAAATAATTTGCAAAACATTATGATTTGTGTGGAAACATTTTCATTATTAAGATTATTTTTTATTTTAACCTCTTTTCCTTTCTCTTTCTTGATCCTCCTTAGCAACGGTCATTACAGTCCTTGACAGCGGTCTGTTCTACTGGATTTACAACGTGTCACATGTTCTGAATTGACCAATCAGAACTTTATTTAGCCTCCGTATTGATTATGGTTGAATGTGGGCCGCGAAAACATTTTTGATTCTTAAGTGGGCCCTGAGTTGAAAAAGGTTGGGAACCGCTGATGTCTGTGCCTTGTTTGGATGATTGAAATTGAAAGCTCATTTTGCAACGAATATCCCAAAGTTTATATGCTGCAGCTAAAGGATTACAAGGATACCTTTTTTTTTTTAAACACAAAAGCTACAATACTTATTATAACTTAAAAAAACATGAATTCTTACCACTTTATAAGGGGTGATTTTTTTTTTGGAGATATGAAAATGCAGCTTTGTACCGCATTTAAACTTTTACCAAAATGAGGTGTTTGTAACTTCAACTTAATCCCAAGGAGCATCTGTATAAGGCTGTCAGCTGTGTCAGACATTGCTTTGTCATTTCCTTAAGCTCCGCCTCCAATCCACTGAATCAACTTCAAGACCCTAAATCTGCTTTCCTATGATTGGCGGTAAAACGTCTCTACGCTGCGCTTGCTGTTGTGTTTCTATGGATAGAGCGGTGCGGCCATACTAGGCGAAAGCGCACTACCTTTGGCGCTGACCTTTTGATTCACAAGCAATCAGATTACAGAAGTGCAAAGTGTGGCAAGCGAGCAGTGGATGTAACCATAGACGCGAAGCCTCTCGGCCTGTTTGCGCTCTACTTTGCGG